AAACTCTTGTTGGTCTTTAATCTGCTATTGGACTCAAATCTAACTGTCCCAGTATCACCAAGTAAGTGTCATGCAAAATGTAGATCTGAACATGGGTCTCCTCAACCCACACTGGTCTTTCCCCCGGGAAATTGGAAAGTCTACGCCCTTGCGGCTTCTTTCATCCTCTTCAGAAATCACTGGTAGAAGAATGTCCTTCTTGGACATCATGTTCCACACTCCCGTATTCAATGCAAAAGAATAAAGGTTCTCCAGATCTCCGTGTACTTCAATTAAAAGCAACCCACATTCTTCACCAGGACCAGCCAAATTCTACAACTGTAATACTTTCTTGGCAAATATTTGCTAATTTTGCGGCTGGATCTTACTTTCCTTCAGTGGGACACAGTTCTGAACAGAGCTTAAAAGGGAATAGAGCTTGTAGATTTAGTATCTAAAAAATTAGTGATAAATGTAAAGAAATAGCTGGAATGCTTTTTAGGAAATTTACATTAGAAGACTTGGTTGGATCTAATCATTTTTTCCTTTGGTGAAAAAGTGAAGAGAGTCCCCTGTGATAACCCAAAAGGCTATGCTGGGGATGACGGGGTTTGTATGGACAAAGCTGCTTGGGATGAGGGGAGTTAAGTGAGATTGCTTGAAAATGCTTGGATCTAGCCCAGTGATTATGCTCTGTACTCCATAAAAACATAAAGGAGCTTTCATATATTCAGCCACCTTTACATTTAATCTGCTATATAAATCTCCTTTCTTCTTCCTTCCTTCCTTCATCATCTTTTTTTTTTGTAAATCCCTGTTGATATTTTCCCCTTTAATTTTATTATCACTTGTAATGTGCTTAAATCAAAGTCTAAGTCCAGTGGGGCACCTTTAAGACCAACAGAGTTTTATTCAAGGCATGAGCTTTCCTGTGCACACATAGTACTTCTTCAGACACAATTAAATGGAAATAGAAATAACAGCTATACACATAGAGGGTGGGCAGTGAATTAGCATACAGAATAATGAAGATATTTTTAACAGATTAAAAGAATAGCAAGCTTAGTTATATGGCTATCAATTGTTCGGGTTCATTATTCTGTGTGCTAATTCACTGCCCACCCTCTATGTGTATAGCTGTTATTTCTATTTCCGTTTCATTGTGTCTGAGGAAGGGTGCACGCACACGAAAACTCACACCTTGAATAAAACTTTGTTGGTCTTAAAAGTGCCACTGGACTCTAACTTTCTTTTGTTGCTTCAGACCATACAGCTGCCCAGCTGGATCTGTGTTTAAACCATTTATTAGTGTTTTAAACAACACGTCCAGTCTATTGGCCCTCTTGGAGATATGCAGTGTCCCTTTCCTTACCTTTTTAGCTTCCCTTAAAAAAATTCCAGACTATAGCCTTTAAACTGTTCAGTAAGAATTAATCCAGTTTTTCATCTTCCAGTATTCTGATAAATGAATGCAAATGAATTACTGAGAAGAAAAAAGTGCTAGGTACTCTCAGTTTCGTTAAAATTAATTAAAATTTAATACAATGAAATAACTTTCTATATTTAAGTTGTGGCTGTTTTTCAGTGGCATCCTCATTTTCCCACGCTGCATAACTTTAGGCTTCCTTGCCACAGCATTCCCAGCCATAGACCTGACCCTGAAACTCTGGCTGCTGGAGATCCTCTGAGCCCTTCTCTGGTTCCAGAGTTCACATGGCCCCATGTTTCCAAACTTTCAACCTTGCAGCTGTAAGGATTTCAACTGGCTTTGGAAAAGAACTAAAGTGCCCTGTCCCAGATAGCCCCGGCAAGCCCAATCTTGTCAGATCCAGAAAGCTAAGCAGGACCAGCCCGGGCTAGTATTTGGAAGGGAGACCTCCAAGAAATACCAGGGCCGTGATGCAGAGGCAGGCAATGGCAAGCCAGTCACCGCTGAATATCCCTTGCCTTCAAGCCCCACTAGGGGTCAGCATGACTTGATGGCAAAACATTTTTTTAAAAAAAGAATTAACGCTGGAGTTCAGATTGCTGAACTCAGTTCTTAGGGTGGCATGCAGTATTTGTATTATAAAAGAAAGCAATAGATTAATTCCTAGTGAAGTGGTTGTCTGAACACTTCAGAATTACTTCCACACTGCTGACATTCAGTTAAAAACTGTTCTATTCTAACTCAGAACACACAAACAAAGAAGTACCAAATGGTGCTTGCTTTTTCTTTGTGTAAAGACTAGCTTTACAAGGATGCTAGCCTGTGAGGCTCACTGCTGCTTCTCTGTCTGACTTTCCAGAGGAGGGGCTGCGCTTTGCCTTAATGCCCAGGGCAGGAGGAACGGGGAAGCTCTTGTCAGGTTTGTAAGTGAAGAGCACAGAGATCTAGCCCTGCAAAGACACAAGCATCACATGGGGAACCGGTACATTGAGGTATGTTGTTCAGGGTCCAAAATCTGCATTGGCGAGAGAAGGTGGCAAGCTTGGCCATCTGTAAACATTTCTTCTTCTTTCTTTCCTAGGTATACAAAGCAACAGGTGAAGATTTTCTTAAAATTGCAGGAGGTAATTTTTTTTGTCCTACTACAATTCTGATTAAAACTGAAAAAGACTTCCTAATGGCTATTTGTTCCACAGTTGGTTTTAGATCAAACTGCTTTATTGTAAGTCAGATTTTTTGTTCCAGTGAAGCATTATGGAGTAGTGGGATAGTGCTGGATTTTCAACAAGTGGGCATAGTCTTCATTCACTGATCTCTCTGGGTAACCTGTGGCCAGTCTTTATGTCTTGATCTACCCTCTCTGTTGCAATAACAGGTAGGGGGACCAGGTTTCCCGCTATAGCAGCATCAGTAGGAGAAACAGTGGGGAAAGTGCCATCAGCCTTGTGTATCTTGAAGTGACTTTGTGCATCACTTTGATGCTCTAGCAACTCCCCAAATTTCAATTTCTATGAACAAACCACTGTTTCTGTAGGGTTGTGGCTATGTGTAACCTCACTTTCAGTTATGTGACCGGAAGTGATGTCACAATGCCTAGTACTGCCCCCCAGGACTTCCCTGGGATAGTAGGGGGATTACGTCTGCTACCCTGAAATCCTTGGAAGGGCAAGACTTAAAATGTATGAACAACAGTACCATCCTGAGCAGGTCTACTCAATGCAGCTTACTCACAGGAAGCTGTCCTTAGGAGTGCTCTGCTAGTAGCCTGATATAGCTGTCTCTGACTAGAACTTGAGCACTGAAAATGCCTTATACTGAATCACACCAATGATCCCTCAAGGTCAGGGTTAGCCACTCTGGTGATGGCTCTCCAGAGTCTCAAGTGGAGATCTTTCACACTACCTGGTTCCTCAACTGGAGAATGCCAGGGACTGAACCTGCTTTGGTTCTCAAAGGTCTCCAACAGAGACTACGCAAAAGCATTTAAACAGAATACTGATCTGGAGGGTGGATGCAAAACTGTGATGTGGATTCATAACAAACCATTGTTTGGTAAGAAAGTGGAGGATTTTAACTGTCAAGCCACCTGTGAGGGGAGGGGGAAGAGAGTAGGAGCCTGAGACTTCCCCAGGCTTGTTCATGTCTTGAGAAGCCATGGCTTGTTATGTCTCAATCTCACATCTATGAACCATCAAAACTTCTCTGAGCAGGAAACATGCTTGTGTTTTTGTTTGTCCATAAATCAAAATAAGGACTAACTGCAGAACATATCTGGGGTGGTTCTTATTGGCAAAGCCTCCCCTCCCATTATTCTGTTAAGTTTTATTGAGGATCCTAGTCTTTTGAGGTACTATCTGAGTGCAGGCTCTGAACCCAACAAATAACGCCTACGTGCTGCCTCAGGAGAGGGTGGACCTCTCCCAGCAACTAGAGGAACTGCATTACTAAACCGGTAAGGGTGTGTCTGTCTGGTAGTATTTTAGGCTCCCTCACAGAAATAGGGAAGCATTGATTCTCTGAGTGTCTGCTAAAAAAGAGGAAAGGCCGCACAGGCTGTGTTCTCTTTCTTCAATAACCCCTTTGTGAATAGCTGTCTCAATTCCTTCATAGTTCTGTTGGTTTGTCTCTCTCCTCTTACATTACTATATCAAAATATAACACACAACTATTTACAAGGAAAAAGACAGGAAAAAAATAACAATGAGAATAATAAAAATGTTGAGTTCTGGTCATTCTTCTTGAAGGCACATCCAATGAAGTAGCCCAGTTCTTGTCAAAAGAGAACCAGGTGATTGTTCGGATGCGGGGCCTTCCCTTCAACGTAACTACAGAAGAAGTGTTAGCCTTTTTTGGTCAACATTGTCCTGTGACGGGTGGAAAGGAAGGAATCCTCTTCGTTACGTACCCTGACAACCGGCCGACGGGAGATGCATTTGTGTTGTTTGCCTGTGAAGAATACGCACAGAATGCATTAAAAAAACACAAGGACTTGCTGGGTAAAAGGTACATAGAACTCTTCCGGAGCACAGCAGCTGAGGTACAGCAGGTGAGTGCCCGGCTTGCTAATGTCATGGTTGTGAGGTACTTATCTGAAGATTAACCTTTGACTCACACATGCAAGGGCACGAGGTGGCAGAACAGATTTTATCCACTCAGACTGAAGGTGGAGGGAACACATTTGGTAATACTCTCTATGTTCAGAACTTCCTGTAGATAGAAAACTAGCACAACAAATTATCTTTCTCTGCTGTTTTCTATTTGCAAGGAGGATTTTTGTGAACAGAGCTGGAATCCACCACATGCAGTTAGAAAGGACTGCATCATTTCCACCTCCTCAGGGTTCTGTCATCTTATTCTCCAGCAAGGGAAAGGTGGATGGGTGGTTTTTCAGCTGCTCAGTCTTAGATATGACGTTTGACAATGACTGGAATAAAGCCTGGGCAGAATTTGTGCTCAGAACTGCAGGCTGGGCTTTGGTAATCATGCAGTGTGTCTTCCCCAATGCACAGCCCTTCCCTAATCCAGGTGCTTTGTAGATTGACGTTTTTCATTGAAGTAATCCATGAACAGCTGAGCACTGCAGCCCTTACATGTTTTCAAAATGAAGCACATCTTAAGTATTCAAGTATTAGTTTTTCCTGCATGTTTTATTCTCCTGCTAGTCATAGGGAAGCACACTAACTCAGCTTAGAGGGAACATGCTAGTCATGGGGAAAGAACAGCAACTGTTCCTCAGAAATGTTGTTCAGTCTACGTTTTCCAAGACATTGCTTGGAACGGTCTCATGTTTCAAAGCTTGTATGGGCCAGCAACTGGCTTAAAAAAATAAAAAGCAAAAAATCTGATCAAGTAGTCTCAACAATTGAAGTTCTCTGTATAAATCCCGTACTTGAACAGGATGGTCGCAGAAAATACACATCCCTGCCTGTATTTGCCAATAATTTTATAGTCTGGAACATGCACAGGAGCCTGTTATCTCTGCTGTGTGACCTTAAGCATGAAGTCTCTTCTGTTGCCTTATGGCCTTGGGTTCAAACCCTCAAACCACACCTGTTTTTATAGGCATATTCACTGTTTTTAGTCTAGACAGACAGGTGCACAGCAACAAGCTGCACTCCTGTGTCTTCTGCACCTATGTGCCAATCCACCTGGATAGTGCTGTCTTCTTCAATAGTCAGTGCTCTTACCTTCCCCCACCCCCTAAACCAATCCTCTGAACATGTTACTGGCGAACTTAGAATGACAACCATTTTAGAACGGTGGATCAGGACGCATTTGTGCTGCCTGCTGGTGTCTGTTGAGATTATACCTTATTACGTAGCTTTCCCACCAGCTCTACATGTTTAGATTGTCATCTCTAGCAACTTGTTGCAGTACAACACGCAAAAACAGATAGTGGGAGCAGAGTATTTCCATGTATCTCACCTTTTCAAGTGTCACTTCAGTCTCACAATCAGCCTTGTGATGTAGCATGTATTAACTTCAGATTAGATCACCTGTTGAAAGGATATGTATTGGGTCACTTTTATTAAATCGTCCTAGAAACTGAATAAATCAGGGGTGTCAAACATGGCCCATGGGCCAGAACCAGCCTGTCCAGGGCTCTTACCCAGCCTCCAAGCAGCTGTTCATTACCTTTACTGCCAGATGAAACAGGCTGTGCCTTATGCCTCTGTACTGTCCCAGTGCTGATGAGTAATGGGCGGTGGAAGTGGGAGGGTGGGCATCAGGGAGATACTGTAAGGAAGTATTGTAAGAGTATTAATATATTAAGCATGTTTCTATTTTGAGTAAAAAAAATAATAATATTGATAATTGGGTTTGCCTGTATCCTTTATGAAGTCTGTATCTCCCAAACCTGGCATTACATTTTATGGCAGGCATGCCCCGGCCTGACAAAGTGACATTTATATCAGATCCAGCCCTTGTAACAAATGAGTTCAACGCCTCTGTTTGGCCAGTGGCTTTAAGAAATTGAATCTGAGTTTCTGAGGTCATCAGTAGAAGTAGATGTAAAGGTTTTTTTATTACCAAAGTTAATGCACAATTATGATCATGAGAGTGTGTGATTAAAATGCTAAATTGGCAGACAGTAAGAGAACTGCTGCATGGAAATTCTTCATTCTGTAGCTCCTCTACAGTTTCCAGTTCAGCCTTTCCTCACATGTGAAGACTGAAGGGGAAAAGCTTCACAGCTGAAGGGGAGAATTTGATCTTCAAGGAAGTAGTCTCAGAGGCCAATTCCCCAGCTATTGTGGGTCTTCAAACTGTGAGGGAGCGTTCTTCAGTACAAAAGATCTGTAGTGCGATACACACCTGAAGGGCACAACTTCCGAGTCTTAATTCCTACACTCTGCTCCCCTTCTGGTAATGTTGCCAACTTTGGGTTGGGAAACTTCTGGAGATTTGAGAGGTGGAGCCTGGGGAGGGGTTTAAGGGGGCGCGTGGCCTCAGTGGCACCATAGGGTCCACCCTCCAAAGCAGCGATTTTCTCCAGGGGAACTGATCTATGTTGCTTGGAAGAGAAGGTATAATTCCAGGAAGCTTACCTGGAGGTTATAATTAGTGAAACTTATTAATACTAATTTAATATTAATACATTCATTTATTAATTAAAATGTTTATCAGTCACTTTTCTGCCTTACAGGACTCAAGCCAGCTTACAATATAGATGAAATACATAAAACAGAATACATAAAATACATAAAAAACCCCAAATTTAAAATCACAATTTAGGACTGCCAGTAAGTTAATACATAAAATAATAAATAAAACTGTCTTCAGTTGCGGCCTACAGATTGAAAGCGAGGGTAGGGCTGCCAAATGCCCCCGGGAATGGCTGTGGCCCCGCCCCCAGCGTGTGACATCACATCCGGGTGACGTAGATGCGGCGCACGCACGCGCACCGGGAGATGGCCAGGGATCCCCCGCCGAGGAGATAAGAGAGATTTGGCAACCCTAAGTGAGGGGGTCAGGTGCACCTCTCTGGGTAGATTGTTCCACTATCATGGGGCTGTCACTGAAAAGGCCTTTTCTCATGTATCCCTCAAACAATCTTCTTTGACAGACAGGACAGTCAAGAGGGCCACTCCCTGTGATCTGAATTCCTGGGCAGGAACACGTGGGAGAAGATAGTCCTGCAGATACCCTGGTTATGATCCATACAATGCTTTAAAAGAAAAAATCAACATCTTGAACTGGGCGAGGGAGTGTACGTAGATGTGGCGCACGCACGCGCACCGGGAGATGGCCAGGGATCCCCCGCCGAGGAGGTAAGAGAGATTTGGCAACCAGAATTCTGCACTAGCTGCAGCTTCCAAACACTCTTCAAGTAGTGCTTTTTTTTGTTTGCATTTCAAAAATGTATGGTATGTATGGCCCAACCAGGCTATTTATGTTAGGTCTGATCCTGATATTAAATGAGTTTTCTACCTGATTTAGACAAAGTAAATAGGTCAAGCAGTTTTAGAGCGGGCACCTGCCTGGTATTTCCAGGGCACAGGGGAAGATCCACTACACATCCTGCATACTGGAGCCTCTTTACTTTATGCAGTGGGAGAATGTAAGTAGCTACAATTAAGGGCACACAAGTGATGGATGCAAACCTATTCCCTCCCCATGAAAGCTAGACACTAAGAAATGCACCTTCCATCCGCCTAGAGAGAAGGCAATAGCAATGGGTGGGACTGACCTGCTTGGCTTTGTTATTTGACTAAATGGGAAAGCTGCTGCAGTTGATTAAACAATGATGCAGGTTGTACGCCAACACGTATGAAAACCACTCATCTGGTGTCATATTTTTTTTTGCAGGTGTTGAACAGGTACTCTTCTGTACCTCTCATTCCTCTTCCAACTCCGCCTATCCTTCCTGTGCTACCTCAGCAATATGTACCACCCACCAATGTCAGGGACTGCATACGACTACGTGGCCTTCCCTCCACTTTTTTTCACTGCCACTATAGAGGATATTTTGGGATTCCTGGGGGAGTTTTCTGGAGATATCCGAACTCATGGGGTTCACATGGTATTAAATCACCAGGTAAGTAAAGGAGACAACAGTATTCAACCTCCACGTAGGCTGTCTAGTCAGCGTTTTGTCCAAGGTCCTGGGAGCAAGTAACCCAAGTGTGGTCACTCCACAACTTATAACCAATTTCAGCTGAGGACATCTTGTGTGTTAAAGATTTTGAGACTGGGATGTAGTCTATGCAGGTATATATTTTGTGATTTGCCGAAAAGTAGATGTAGTCTTTTGAATTTGCTTTGAGGTGTCTCTATATATAACAATAGCAGAATTTTTCTAATAAGCTAGCTAGTTTGGTTTTTGTCATACATAGGGGTTTTGGTTGTTTAACTTTGTGGGTCCAGTCCAAAGCATCGTCAACTATGTAATTCAAGTCACCGCCTAAGATTATGTCGCCATCCTGAAATTTAAAAAAGAGAGAGAGAACAGTAATTTTTGCTTTTTAATATTCATAAACATTTTCATTTGTGTTCTGTCTCTTAGACCTTTTTTTTTTAGTACGGCTTTAGCATATTCTAGACATTTTGCATGCATGACCGTTAATCCATGCAACTTCTCGGTATGCATCCTCCCCATATTATTAACTGGGAAACAGGGAGAGGCTCAGAGAGTGACTTGCACTCTTTAGGTTAAACACTTAATCAGGTTTCCTGGCATATCTTTCATGTTGTATGAAAGTAAGGAGGGCTTGATCTTTGAGGGGAGACACGGCATCTGAGGATGGGTACTCCCCATTATCCCGGGGCCATTTTTCCAACAGATATTTGGCTATCCCCAACAGCTGGTGCCATGGGCAGGAGGCAGAAATAGGTGCACTGCGTGTTCCTGCCTTTCTCCCTAGCTGGGGGCAATAGCTGCTTGGCAGTGGGAGATTTCTGTTGGGGTACATGTCATGGGAACAGAGGATGAAATCTTCCTTCTCAGCGCCCTTGCTGTGTCCCAAATCTGAATCTGGGTGGCTGGAGGGGGTTGCTGCTGTTTAACAGTCAGAGGTGCTGACCAGGGCCTCCGAGAGAGGGGAAACAAAATTCGGGGGGGGGGGCCAACGTCAGTTTGAGGGGCCCCAGCTGGAGCTCTCCAACAGCTGACACAGTAGATTTTAACTTCCCCTGGAATGCCTCTGCTCTACTCTTTTTTTCTGCTGCGATCTCTTTATCACTTTCCCTCTCCCTCACCCCACACCCCCAGAGTGAGAAACAGATGCTCTGGGTTGGCTCAGTTTCCTCTGCCCACCCCCTTCCTACACCTGTGTAGCCAGCCAGCCTCACACTCTGTGTGCTGGGAAGGCAACATGTGGTGCTCCTGCTCTCTTGTACGATGAACTGCTGTAGTCCCTCGTCTGTCGTTCTCCTCCTTGCAAGATCTATCTTGCAAAAAGCCCATCGTCTGCTCTGTTCCCTGGTCCATTTCCTGAGCTGCATAGAGAAGCTTCTCTACCACAAGAACAGGATTGTTGTCTGGTCAATGAGCCCCTAGCTGGAGGCACTGGAAGGGGGGGGAATACGATGGGGCAGGGCTGTTACCACTCACACTGTGATGCTGGAAAGGCAAAGAAGTTTCCATGCAGTTGCTCAGAATGGGTATCACAGGAAAAAGATCAGTGTCTAATAAGCAGTGGGAGTTGCCAACTGACCAAGAAAGAGGGTTGGTTTGCTCCTGTGGCTTTAATGGCAGCCTGAGCCACAGAAATCTGCAGGGGGACTTTTGGAAAAAAGAGAGCACACACTTATTACTGGCTTTTTCCTGCAGTTCAAGCTGCTGTGAGATGCACAGGAATAGGAGTTAGTAAGAAAAAAATTGGTAACCTCTAGATCTGTGAGAAGATAATTGCAGGGGACTGGGGTGGCATTTGGATGCTGGATAGATTTGGGGTGGAGGAATCAGGGAGAAGAAGTGAGTGAGGGAATTTAAGCCTGCAGTCCTCCCGTGCATATTTACAGGCAAGTAAACTGCATCACAGTCACACTTTGAGTTAACAAGGACAAGATCCAGCTATCTGGAGCAAGGCCTAGGAATAGGGAATGTGCTTAGTTGTTGTTGTTGTTGTTTTAAAATCAGAAACATTACACTCTGCCTGGGAGAGGAGGATGGGGTGGTCTCTGTTTTCTCCAGCTTTCTTTTTCTTTCTGTTTAAGTAGGCGGCAGCAGAAGGGGAGGGGAGGGGAAGGGAAGGGAGAACTGGAGTCAGTTGGATTTCAGTATCCAGGGGCTAGAGTTGCTTTCTAAAGTCAGTGCATATACAGGATTCTGATCCCCTGCCAGGACTCATTCTTTGTTTCAGAAAAGAGATGCTTTGGGGGAAGAAGAAAGTGCTTGCTAAGAAACACCCCTGTGGGGTGCCATGGTGCCCGTGAGTGCCAGTTGAAGAAGACAACCTACCTATTAGCTGTAATCATCTTCTCCCTTGTTTTCCAAAGCAAGTCAGTGAGACACAGAGAGAGAGAGAGCTTGCAAGAGTGCTGTTCGCTAGGTTTCTTCAAGTTTGTCCCATCTTGCTTAATGTTGATATGTGCTAGGTGGCTGTTATTAGAAAGGTGGGAGGGGTTGCACCATACCTTATTATAACATGCACGGTGTAAATAAGTAAAACCTGCTCTTTAATCATCCTGCCCATTTTCCTTTCTTGCCTATCTGACAATTATTATTCTATTCATGGATGGTAGCAGCAAGCCAATAATACTTGGTTTTGATCAGGGTCAAATCTTTGTCTGGGGACCCACGGTGGCTCTCGGCAGCCCTGGTGCTGGCAGCTCTGATCACTGATATTCTGCACAAGGTGTAGGATGGCCCTTAGCTGTTACCTTGTGCAGCTGTTTGTGGTCTTCCTCATGCATTACTTATACCACATCTGTTGCTGTACAAGGTACCTTTCAACATGGGAGAGCCTGGACTGTATCTGCTGCCTTAAAATCTAATAAAATGTATCCCATAAAAAAAAAAAAGAATGATTGTGATAGCTATCATTCTACATGAGAGTATGGAGGCTTCAAATATTGGGAAGGATAAATTGCAGTAAAGCTGTAACAGTTTGCATTCAAAAAGGCTGTAAAAGCAGGAAAGACTGCAAGAACTTGGATGTGATCGATTGCATCCATAGTCTCTCTTGGTCTATTTCTCCATCTTGCCTTGAGGTTCTCTGCAAGACATATCCCCTGGTTGTACCACAGTGGTACTTCAATCCTGGCTACCTTGGCCTCTTTGTAGACTGAGTGAGTGTTGAGGATGCCCTTTTTCAGTTCCCTAGCAAAAGATAACAATGACTAGTTAAGCATCTCAAAAGTAGATGATGACTAGTTAAGGATCAGAGCTAAGGAGTTGTCAATACTTAGTGGTTCTGGTTGACATGCCTGCCTGCTGTAATTGTAAACACTGCAATGATGAAAGAACTACCAAGAAAATGTTTGGATGGTTTGCATTAATGGTTCACTTATTTCCAGTCAGTATTCAAAGATCTGCCTGACCCAAGAATGATTGTCGTAGAAAAAGAGGTGCAGGAGCTCATTAGCATAACTCATTAGCGTAACTTATTTGCATATGCCACACACCCTGACATCACCAGAAGTGTGTCAGAAGGCAACACCCACCGCTCAGGCTCCACTGGACTATTTTGGATTGCTAGCTATTGGGGGGGGGGGAATGTGCAGATCTGTTCTCGCAGAGGAGGGAGAGCTTGTACCTGAATAAAACTTAAAGGTGCCACTGGACTGTTTTGGACTGGGGGGGGGGCTCTGCAACTTACCTGGCTGCTTCTTGCTCTGACTGAGGGCTGCTGGGAGCAGGGGGTGGGGCTTGTTGCATGTGCCCGCCCCCTGGGCTCTTTACTGCCGGAGCTCCGCTCCTGTGCGCTCCTGCAGGAAATGACCCCTGCCTGACCCACATGCTATAGTTGCCTGTCTTCTTCTTGCACTGACTTCCTAAATCTAAAGATGCTTTACTGGCGTGGTCTGTGTTTCACTCTTAACTGTGGTCCAATTGCAGATGGATCAGAGATGTCATCTTTATCACAAGCTGAATGTTCTGGCTTGTATCTGTTAAAGTGTTCTCATGGTACCTGTCTACAGGTACCTGTCTTCAAGATACCATTTGAAATTGAGTTCCGAGGTTGCAGTTCAAGGTGCAGCAGCCTCAACAGCCTGGTCTAGTCTGAGCTCAGAAAGCTAAGCAGGGTCAGCCATGGTTAGTACTTAGATGGGAGACCACAACAGAAATCAAGGGATGCTATGCAGAGGGAGGCAATGGCAAACCACCCCTGCTTATCTCTTGCTTTGAAAATGCCGTGAAGGGTTACCTTAAGTCATTTGTGAGCTGATGGCACTGAATTAACTAGAACAAGGCTCAAAATCACCACTTTGTTACATTACGTTCATCCCTGCATGAAGCTTACTGGAGGCCTATGTGAAAATCTTTGTCTTACCAATCAGTCTTCCACATGAGAGTGCTGTAAAGTTAAAGAGGATCACTGCACTGAGAAGTGATGGGAAGGTGGAAAATGACTCAAGTTGTTTCAGCGCTTATGCTGTGGTCATGATTGAGCTCAAAAGTATTACTTAGATTTTCGAATAGTTTTCTACCAAAAGGGATGTGTGCATGAGTGGGAGAGGGGGGGAAATCTAAGCATTTGTCTTCTAAAATGTTTGCAATTATTTGAAAACTGGAGTGTTTTTTTATGACTGGTTTTGACATTTCCTAGATTCTGAGAATCTGAAGTCTAGGCAAGCTATATTCCCAAAGTTTTACAATAGAGGTGTTGATCGAAAGTGTTCTGTTACAATGAAAGCTGAAGGGCAGGAACAGTAAGTCCTGTGACTGTGGGCTTTAAAGAGCATTTAAAATCAGGACACTTTGTGATGAATGGCTCTATGTATATACCTTTATCACAAGTAAAAGGACGAAGTGTTTGTAAAATGTAGAGGGAGAAGCATTTGGCCATTGTGGTGGGCGCAGTGAACAACCGCAAGTTAGTTGTAAAAGACAACTGTTCTAATAGTCCCACTACACCATACTTCCTAGGGGGTCAGCCCCATTAATTTTAGGGAGTCTTACTTCTCAGCAAACATGTTTAGAAATGCACTGTAAGATTAATGCTGGTATAATGTAGACATGTGTCTATATTCAACCAGCAATCAAGTCCACTTGTTTCTGTAACACACTTTAGCTTGGGGTCCATGAACACCTTTCCTAGTAGGTGTCAAGTGTTTTTAGAAAGTGGAAGAGGCCAGGTGGGGCTTTTGTCTAGCGGAGCTTCTGGTTGGCTACTGGTGATCCAATTGGCTGTGCACATTTTTTTTAAGTTGCTTTAGCAAGAGTTGCCAAAGCACAAGGATCTTCACGGCGTTACTTTGTATGCATGCAAGGAAACAGTTTTAAATATGTTCATTTAACAATCCTAAAAGTAATCAACCCTGACTGTTCCCTGGAAGGCCAGATAATGAAACTGAAGCTCAAATACTTTGGCCAGCAAATGAGAAGGGAGCACTCACTGGAGAAGACCCTGATGCTGGGAAAGATTGAAGGTCAAAGAAGACGGGGACGGCAAAGGATGAGATGGTTAGACAGTGTCATCGATGCAACGAACATGAAGTTGAGCAAACTTCAGAGGATGGCGGAAGACCGGAAGGCCTGGAGGGAGCTGGTCCATGGGGTCGCAAAGAGTCGGACTCAACTGTGCGACTGAACAACAACAACAACTACTTCCTGAGGCAGCCATTCTGTGGTTGTGCCCACCAGCCTGCATCAGAATTCCAAAGGGTCCCTCCCCTGCAGGCTCAAAATGGTTGAGAACCCCTGCTGCAGTTAATGTAGCCAAACATGTGGTCCCTGCCAACCCCACCACCAGTGTGACCCAGGCAGTGATTAACACACATGTCACAAGAACAGACACAGCTGAAACTGTAGGTTTTCTGTAGGTCTGAAAGCATCAGGGATTGGAACTGCTAGATTTCCTGCTCCCGCAGTGTCCTTACATCCGAGTGAGTTATACTCCAGGCAGTGAGGGTTGCAGCTGTCACCATCATTGTGACTGGAGGAACTGCACGCTAATGTTGCTTTCCATCAATGTACTCTGGGAAGGCATAGAAAACTTGTTAGAACAAAGAAGTTGCAACTCTGTGGAGGAATACTTGGTGTTCTGACATTTACTACAGGCCTCGCCCAGGTGATGGAGAACATCCATTTATCAGTGCTTGTTGGATGATTGCCCATAGGAGAATAGAGTTACATGGGGATGGTGCTGAGTTCTGGGGAAAAGGTGAGGGAAAATTACAGAGAGGTTCCTTCATTCCACATACATCCATCTTAGTTCTTCCACTGGCAGTGCCCTGATGGCTAGATTTGTAGCTTTACCTACTAGAGAAAGACAACACAATGGTACCTGTCTGTAGCACTGGAAGGCACAACAGGCTGGGTATTGATTGCTTATCCATGGACCACCTTATTGCTTGGAAGGATACTTGGACTCAGAGGTGCAGGGCAAGATTGTCTTTATTCCACAGTTTCCCTGATAAAAATTTTCTTTGGGAAAGAAGCAATTAGATTTATACCCTGGCCTTCACTCAGAGTCTCAGAGCGGCTTACAATCGCCTTCCCTTCCTCTCCCCACAACAGACATCCTGTGAGATAGGTGGGGCTGAGAAAGCTCTGAGAGACCTGCTCTTGAGAGAACTGTGTCTGACCCAAGGTCACCCAGCTGGCTGCATGTGAAAGAGTGGGGAATTGAACCCGGTTCTCCAGATTAGTCTGCCACTCTTAACCACTACACCAAACCACTACAACAGCCCACCTCCCAGGAAAGTCCCCTTACTTTCCACAGCTGCGCTCCCTTTGTCCAGCTCCCCTTTCCCTCAACAACACCAGGCTTCTCAGGGTGGTAACTCTTAAGGAGAAGCCCAGGGGCTTGACCTGTCCCCCAGTTGCAGGTTCCACCCACTCCCCCACTGCACCTGTAAAGGCTCTCCATCTGCAGCCCAACTGATTGGAGCCTGGCCGCACCTAGGCTACAGGCTTCTGGGGTGGCTTCTCTGGAGACTCCCTTGGTCTTGGGCTTCTTTTCCCCCAGGGTGGGCTTCTGCTGCCCTCTCCCCTAGCCTCCACTGGCATGACCTGGCCAGGACTGTCACACCATCTACTGCAGGGATTTATGCTCAAGACCTGTTGGTAGCTTGTTCCTTTCCACATTCTACTTAGTAAAATGAATCACAAATGGCCAGACCAGAATACTGGTGTTTATCATACAAAGTGGCTGAGTCTCCACAGCTGCCTAGAAGGCTGTAACCTCCTACAGGCACAAGGGTATGGCTGTGCTTGCATACCTTTTTCTGCCAGTAGACAGTCATTTAGGAGTGATTCTTTTCTACCCACCCTGACCTGGATGTCCCAGGCTAACCTCACTCATCAGATCTCAGAAAGTAAGCAGGTCCAGCCCTGGTCAGTATTGGGATGAGAGAACACCAAGGAAGTCCAGGGTTGTGACACAGAGGCAGGCAATGGCAAACAGCCTCTGGACATCTCTTGGCTTGAAAACTCCACGAGGTCATCGTAAGTCAGCTGTGACTTGCCAGCACTTTCCACCGCCACCTATTCTACATATCTGCTTTCCACTGTAGTTGCAGCGTAAGACATATGGGGAGGAAAACTTGATCTCTTTGCACATGCCAAGATGATACAAATTGAGGGTAGTTTATATATAAATCAAGAACAGAAATCCAACATGCATAAAGAACTTCAAGTCTTTATTACCCAATTCTTTTTTTCTTTTGTTTTGTCTTTTGTTCTAGTTTGATATTGTATTGTTTTTTTAAAAAAAGGATTTGTCTGGTAACCCTCAGCGTGGATCTCACTGAAAATCCACATGTTTGGAAGGATATCTGTCAGCAGAGCACAACTTCTTTGCCGCCTCCTTCCTGCTGTGACTCAAAATGTCCCATAATGTTGTCCATGGGGGGTGGGGGCAATGTGAGGGGTGGCGTTGGAGGTCTGATGCAAGGAGGGAATTGGCAGAAATCTCCCACAGAATCCAGTTGCCTAGTTATAGAAAACTAGTATTGTTTGGTATGTTTAGTCATACAGCTTCAGTATCTCTGAGTGTGGTCCTTCAAGTGTGGGCCTCTTGGCACAAGAAGCATTTCCTTTCACTGGATTTCTCTCTGCCAGGATGTGGTGGGTCCAACACTGCTGCCATCTCCCCCATACATAGCCAATGACTGAGGGGAACTTCCATCTACAGAGGCAGCAAACCTCTTGATTACCAGTGCTGGGAGGCAACATAGGGTTACCATACCCCTGGTTAGGGCAGGGGTTCCCCTGATTTCAGGGACTCTAATCTGCTGCTGGCCAGCGGGGAAGCCCCATCTCCGAGCAGCCTCCTCCCATAGTGTCAGCATGATGACATCACCTGGAAGTGATGTCATTATGCTGGGCACATCGCATGATGATGCTCTAGCGTTTTGACCAGAACTCTATGGTAACCATAGAGCTTTGGTCAAAATGCTAAAGTGTCGCTGTGTGTTGTGCCCAGTGTGATGATGTTACTTCCAGGTGATGTCATCATGAGGCACATACACCAGAAGATCCAGGCTCGGAGCTGGGAGCCCCCCACCACAAGCCTGGTAAGACCTGGCAACCCTAAGGCAGCATCAGGAAAAGGTCTTGACCTCTATGCACTGTTCATTTGGCACTCCAGGACAACTGGTTGGCCACTGTGTGAAACAGTATGCTAGACTACATAGACCGCTGGTCTGATCCAGCAGGAGCTTCTGATATTAAAGCAGAGACCAGCTCTCCCTTCAAGGTACCTAAAACCAAGAAGGAAACTGTCATTTTGAATTCAGACTTATAGTTGCTCATGTTATCACTGCAGATAAATCCCTCCTCCTTGTAGACTTTCCACTGCATAAATGCTTCTGTAGTTAAGTTATAGCTCATTCTCTGTGCTTTCATCCTCAGGGGCGTCCATCTGGAGATGCTTTCATCCAAATGAAATCTTCGGACCGAGCATTTATGGCTGCTCAGAAGTGCCATAAGAAAACCATGAAGGACAGATACGTTGAAGTCTTTCAGTGTTCTTCCGAGGAGATGAACTTTGTGTTAATGGGGGGCACTTTAAATCGGAATGGCTTATCCCCACCACCATGTAAGTTACCATGTAAGTTTTGCTTGGCTCTTGGCGCTACTCTACGCTGTTTGCTGGTAGGTGTTGGAGCTTCCTGTCTCAACTCTTGTGCCCCTCTCTTGGAAAAGTTCAGTGTTTGGGGTCTGGGACTCAAAACTTTCCCTCCTGAAATCGGTAACAGTCTCTGAATTGTTCTTCCTTTGGGTGTGGACTATTGTGATTTTGGAGAGGAACTGGCTTCCTTATTCTTGCTTCTCTGCTGACACCCACTTTTTTCCTTGGAGCCTAATTTGCACTAGATAGGCAATGATTTTTTTTAACATGGCTATTTTGCAATGGTTTAGAGGCAATTTAGAGGCAATGATAGGCCTCTAAAATGGTTAGCTAAACTCAAATATGGGTGCCTAGATATGCAGAGGGAAAACTGAGTGTTTTAATAGCCTGTAGATCAGAGAATCACTAAAATCATTTTAGTGCAGGTAAGTGGCATTGGGTAGATTGAATGGTCACTCTAAGAATATGCTGTATGTGTTTAGATCTAAGAGAAAGCTATACATCTCTGTAGGAGGCTGATTAGAATTGCTGGTCTCTTAATGTTCCCAGGTAATAAAAGAGCAACAGGTTATAGCTAATTTGGACTGAAACCTTTTCTCCCTTCTTCTGTCACTGAATATTTGCATTTGGTCATGGTCACACATGAGTTCCGAACTGTTGATCTTGGACGTGCTTCTGAGTAGTCTACATGCTAAGAACACTTCTGTGCCAAGGAAATCCAAACCTGTAATGACACTTAATCAGTGTTGCTTATATTTGCTTGTCTGGCTTGATTTCACATGCTTGCTCTGGAACTGACAGAACTAGCATACACTCTTACCGAGTTGCTGTTCCAAAATCTTTAGAACAATTGGATTAGTTTGGGAGTGGTGGTGACAAATAGGTGGGCTGGAAGTCACAGAATAATGGCCATAGTTTGGGAGAGATGGCATGTCAATAATACTTTGTGTCCACTTGGGAGGGAAAGAAAGGTATTTAAGACCATATTTTTATTTATGCGTTAAAACTTTCATCCACCTTTTTCTTCCAAGGCAGTTTACCAAAAGGCTACAAATAGATCACGACACACTATGCAGAATGGCAAGAATAGAAACAAGCCATTTGCAAGCAGCACAAGATCAGCCTTCTGATTTTGTCCTCACAGGAAGCTGTGCTCAGCTTCCTTTCAGCCTCTGAGATTCCACCAGACATTCAAGGGCCAGTATTTGGAGGGGGGGAAGGAATAATCATTTCTTGGCTGTTGCTGGAGCCTCAGGAGGGACCATCACCAGCCAAAGACCTGCCATAATGCGGTGCTAGGTTCTTGCCACCTGTCCCCAATCTCACTGTGGGCAGCAACAGTTATAGTAGGGATGGGCCCTCTTCTCTGCCATGATATGATGCTTATATTGGGTGGCTCCTCACCTTCCTCTACCTGCCAAACAGCAGAGGGAGGAACAAACACTTCTGTCAGCTCTCCTGAAGGAACAGTTCAACAGCAATGGTGCCCAGGAGTAGCTCTCCCTGACTTGGTTGTGTGTTTCCCTCTGGGTACTGGGGGTGCCTGTAGGGAGAAGAGTGAAGTACAGTTCTTCTGTGCTCCTTTAAACCTTATTGACATCAGCAGAAAGGAGCACAAAAGAGGTCCCTGTGATATTAGAGGACAGAGGCTTAGGATGTTTTCCTGTCTCTGTTGGGGAGGTTGCCTGAGGACACAGTGGAGAACTGTAACAGGCCTTAAATAACCATGAAGGTGTATGTTCTACTTCCTGTGTATGTTGTATTTTTGGGGGGGGGGAGTACCCATGTACATGTAATGCAACTTTTTAATGCAGTATGCATGTAGTTAAGGTTGAAAAGTGTCCTCTGGGACTGGGAAACCTCCAGCCCCCAATGGGCTTTTCCTAGTCTATGGTTTTGCCATAGAGTTTCTGGCAATTCCTAGAGGGGGCTGGTGTCACGTCTGGGTTTTCCTGGAAGTGACACTATTGCCATCACCAATGGCTTCCCCCTGTGTTCCTGCCACACCTAGTCTCCCACAAGTTCCCAGGTCAGGCCTGGCAACTCTATATGCAGTTGAGAGGATATGGTGAGCTTGGTGGGAGAGCCACTGGATGTCATCTTGCTCCAGGGTCTCCTGAAAATCTAGAGCCGTCTCTGTAGCATGGCTAATGTTCCATGTTCCATGTAAATCCTTTTGTCTTCATGTCTGTAAAGAAGCTTCGTTCTCAGGAAGCCAGGTGGTGTGTCTGCTTTGTGCTTGTTCTGCAACCTCACAAGAGTCTGAAATTGGTTTTTGGAGGTCAACTAGGGCTTAATTTCAGTCAGCATGATAAGCCCTGAACCTATTTCAGCCTGTTAACAGCCTTAGGGTTATACTTGACCCAACGTTATTGCTGGAAAAGCAAGTCAATGCAGCTGCAAAAAAAAAAAAAGGCTTTCTTCCAACTCAGTCTAACCCATAAAATTGCTCCTTAAGTTTGATACGGTTGATCTGGCCAGCTGGATCTATACCACAGTAACATTAGAGACTAGGCTACTGTACTGCACTGTACCTGGGTCTTCCCTCAAAATCAACTCGGAAACTCCAGTTGGCACGGAATGCCATGGAACAGTTCTTGTCAGGAGCTAGATGGAGCATGCATATTACTCCCGTTCCGCAGCCACTCCACTGGCTGCTCATCAGTACCAAGCTCAGTTACAAGTATTGGCTCTCACATACAAAGCCCTTCATGGCCTTGGACCCTCTTGTCTGTGAGACCGCCTCTTT